TGCCATTTAAAGGGCCCGTTACAAATAGCAGTTTGTAACAAGGTGTCAATCCATATCTGCCAAGTGATCCGATGTAGGGGGAACAGTCCCTATTCTGCTCTGTGTCAGTGTGTATCAGGGATCCTTAGGACAGGTGTCAATCCATATCTGCCAAGTGACCCTATGTAGGGGGACCAGTCTCTATTCTGCTCTGTGTCCGTGTGCATCAGGGGCTCTGAGGACAGGTGTCAATCCATATGTCAAGGTGTCAACATGCCATATGTCAGGTGTCAATCCATATTGATTGTGATTTAGGAATGTTAGGTGATTTCTGCCCTTTATGGATTAAAACCAGACTCTGTATCAACTGTGTAATTTTCCATGGGAGTTTGCCATGGATCCCCCTCCGGCATGCCACAGTCCAGGTGTTAGTCCCCTTGAAACAACTTTTCCATCCCTATTGTGGCCAGAAAGAGTCCCTGTGTGTTTTAAAATTAGCCTCCCCATTGAAGTCAATGGCGTTTCGGGCGGTTCGCCGGTTCGCGAACATTTGCGGAAGTTCGCGTTCGCCGTTCGCGAACCGAAAATTTCGGGTTCGCGACATCACTAGTTGTGGCATTTGCATTAGGTGCACCCCCTCCCCCCCCCAGTCAGGTGACTTCAGAGGGATCAGTGCGCTGACCCAGCACCAAGAGAAATTGGTGCTGGAATCAGGTAAATACAGTAAGGGTTTGTTATCCTTTCCATTGCAGGGCGGCTGCGAGGGAGGGGTAGGGCGCGAGGGAGCTATATTGCTAGGAATACAACTTTTTATTCCAAGCACTATGGTATCCCTTTAATGTGGTGGTTACCACACATGCGCAGTAAGGTACTCAGTGCTTCACTTTGGAGGAGTAGTTGATTGGCCGAGATCATCTGTCCAGATCATCTCAAAAGAAGAAGCAGACACTGCTGGATGAAAGGTAAGTATAAAGTTTTTTGTACAACTTTCTATAGTGGTACTCTTAGTTTTGCTGTAATTGCAAACATTTTTAAAATAAAGTAAAATAAAATAAAAAAATATTATTGATACATTGTACAGTGTAGAACATGGTAATATAAATATAAATGTATTATTCTATCTTGTAATGTGAAAGGCAAAAAAAAGATTATAAATGTCAACTGTATCTGAATGTAAATTGCTCAATTCTATGGTTTAAAAAAAAAAAAGTATTGTCAGCAAACAAACAAAAGCATATTGTAATGCTTGTCAAAGCTGTGAAAGGGATCCATTTAGTCATATGTCTCATATGGAAAAACAAGTCTCTCCGCTTTAAAAGATCATTTTGTGGCATTCTCAAATATTTAAATAAAAGCTTGCAAGCACTAACAGAATGTCTGATACTGCAAATTGCATGGTCTGTCACCAGGCAACCACGATGAACAGGAAAATGTCATATACTGCGTTAGGACATTTGTGATACTTTATTATAATGTTCTTTTTTTTTTTTTTTGGCCATCTCTTATAGTTAATGCAAAATTGTTTCCTAAGGTACCCATCAATTTTATTTCTTTAAGGAAGGATGCATGACTAACAGAATTATTCACCAGACAGTGAATTGTGAATTTTCCAGGAAATTGCAGACTGTAGTCTTGAACAGATGAGCAAGACACATGTGCCTAAACTTTCATTCTTTATATAAATATTACTGAAGATGGAATCATTTTTAGAGGAACACTCAAGCACCGAAGGCAACACAGCCCACTGTAGTGATAATGGTGCCTGTAGAGCTGACGCATTCTGCAATCTTGACCCCCTCCCCTTCAGTCAATGAGTTGGCCCTGCACTGCAGGGTTTAGCTCAAAAGAGTAAATGAAAGCTCATATCAGGAGCTTCTAGTTCTCAGTACCGGCAGAAGAGAGGCATGAGCCGGCACCTGAAACATCCCAAGTAAAACAAGTCAAGCCTTTGGCAAATAGTTTAACTGCTTGAATTGGGGAGGTGTCAAGGCACTCCTCCAACCATAACCACTACAGAGCTCTATAGTTGTTAATGTGCTTGGAGTGTTCCTTTAAAAGAGGTCACAGAATACCGAAGGATTGAATAGAGTGGAAAGGACAGGCTTTCAGTAAAAACACTTTTCCAAATCAGCTATTTTGGCCTACATGTTGAAATCTGATTATCAAGTTTGTGTTTACTAAGTAAACTGTACAGAAAGAATATAAGAAAGCAAGCAAAAGGCAATCAAGATGAGAAAAGATAAAAAAAAAAAAAAATGGAAGGTAGATTCAAAGAGAGCTTGTCCTCCACAATGATTTGCATAAGTGCCAGTATTGGAAAGCACGGAGTCAGGAGCGTGGAGGCAGGGCTAACATGAGGGGTTCAGTGGTGTCACTGCTTTTACCCCATGCATGTGAAAAGATGGAACATACAGGGAGTGCAGAATTATTAGGCAAGTTGTATTTTTGAGGATTAATTTTATTATTGAACAACAACCATGTTCTCAATGAACCCAAAAAACTCATTAATATCAAAGCTGAATATTTTTGGAAGTAGTTTTTAGTTTGTTTTTAGTTATAGCTATGTTAGGGGGATATCTGTGTGTGCAGGTGACTATTACTGTGCATAATTATTAGGCAACTTAACAAAAAACAAATATATACCCATTTCAATTATTTATTATTACCAGTGAAACCAATATAACATCTCAACATTCACAAATATACATTTCTGACATTCAAAAACAAAACAAAAACAAATCAGTGACCAATATAGCCACCTTTCTTTGCAAGGACACTCAAAAGCCTGCCATCCATGGATTCTGTCAGTGTTTTGATCTGTTCACCATCAACATTGCGTGCAGCAGCAACCACAGCCTCCCAGACACTGTTCAGAGAGGTGTACTGTTTTCCCTCCTTGTAAATCTCACATTTGATGATGGACCACAGGTTCTCAATGGGGTTCAGATCAGGTGAACAAGGAGGCCATGTCATTAGATTTTCTTCTTTTATACCCTTTCTTGCCAGCCACGCTGTGGAGTACTTGGACGCGTGTGATGGAGCATTGTCCTGCATGAAAATCATGTTTTTCTTGAAGGATGCAGACTTCTTCCTGTACCACTGCTTGAAGAAGGTGTCTTCCAGGAACTGGCAGTAGGACTGGGAGTTGAGCTTGACTCCATCCTCAACCCGAAAAGGCCCCACAAGCTCATCTTTGATGATACCAGCCCAAACCAGTACTCCACCTCCACCTTGCTGGCGTCTGAGTCGGACTGGAGCTCTCTGCCCTTTACCAATCCAGCCACGGGCCCATCCATCTGGCCCATCAAGACTCACTCTCATTTCATCAGTCCATAAAACCTTAGAAAAATCAGTCTTGAGATATTTCTTGGCCCAGTCTTGACGTTTCAGCTTGTGTGTCTTGTTCAGTGGTGGTCGTCTTTCAGCCTTTCTTACCTTGGCCATGTCTCTGAGTATTGCACACCTTGTGCTTTTGGGCACTCCAGTGATGTTGCAGCTCTGAAATATGGCCAAACTGGTGGCAAGTGGCATCGTGGCAGCTGCACGCTTGACTTTTCTCAGTTCATGGGCAGTTATTTTGCGCCTTGGTTTTTCCACACGCTTCTTGCGACCCTGTTGACTATTTTGAATGAAACGCTTGATTGTTCGATGATCACGCTTCAGAAGCTTTGCAATTTTAAGAGTGCTGCATCCCTCTGCAAGATATCTCACTATTTTTGACTTTTCTGAGCCTGTCAAGTCCTTCTTTTGACCCATTTTGCCAAAGGAAAAGAAGTTGCCTAATATATATGCACACCTGATATAGAGTGTTGATGTCATTAGACCACACCCCTTCTCATTACAGAGATGCACATCACCTAATATGCTCAATTGGTAGTAGGCTTTCGAGCCTATACAGCTTGGAGTAAGACAACATGCATAAAGAGGATGATGTGGTCAAAATACTAATTTGCCTAATAATTCTGCACTCCCTGTATATGCCAAGATGAAAGGTAGCCATGGAGGACTGACAGGGCCGGATTAACATAGGGGCTGATGGAGCTGCAGCTCCAGGCCCAGGCCCAGGCCCATGGAATCCCTACTCTTAGGGATTCCACCTGGCTTTTATTTTATTGGCACAGCCAGTATTTGAGGCTGCCTGGCTGGTGCCAATATTACAGTGATACTGGCAATACAAGTGCTGGTATTTTTATCAGTATAAAGATATTACTATGCAATACCAGCACTGGCTGTGTGTGGAGACAGGCAGGGATAGGAAGTTCCAGCATATCCCTCCCTGTCTATCTATACTCACTGATCTGCAGGGGTGCAGCTACAGGGAGTCCAGACAGCAACTCCCACCCTGCAGAGACAGCCTACAGCTTAGGGAAGTAAGGGATGGGGGAAAGGTTGCAAGGAGACATTGAGACACTAAGGGGCACTGGGAGACATTATGGCAGACACTGAGACACTAAGGGAAATTGGGAGACATTATGGCAGACACTGAGACACTAAAGGACATTGGGAGATATTATGACACAGACACATGGGGACACAGTGTCCCCATGTCTCCCAGCCAGTGTCCCTGGTGTCTCAGTGCCCCCTAGTCTCCCAGTCTGCCAGTGTCACAATGTCCCCATGTCTCCAAGCTAGTGTCCCTAGTGTCTCCAAGCTAGTGTCCCTAGATGACTCACTACTTCCAACTGCGAACCCTACTAGATGACCAAGGAATTAGACCACTCAACGCAATCTGGGGAGATACACAACCCTCGACCCTACAACAATTCCGTCACTCTCAACTCACCCACTTCCTATCAACCACCCCCAACATTCTCCAAGGGCACCGGCAACTTACCTCATTTGAACAACACTGTGCTTCCAGTGATATCAAAACGAAGCACCTTTCCCTCCTATACAAACTAATACAAAAGGAACTATCGCCCACCCTACCCAAATACACAAAATCCTGGGAATCCGAGCTAAACCTCTCCCTAACGCAAACAGATTGAAAACACATATTTTCCAACGTACACAAGACAAGCATGAGCACGCACACACAGGAAGGGAACTTTAAATGGCTATCCAGGTGGCACCTCACCCCGTCAAAAATAAACACAATCTTCCCAAACGCCTCTGCGCAGTGTTGGAGATGTCCCCACCCTCGGGGAACCCCAAGCCACATATGGTGGTCTTGTCCAGTCATGTGTACCTACTGGTCCAAAATCATTAAGATGATTCATACCATCACCAACATTCAACTGCCTCAATCTCCAGAAACTGCACTCTTCCTCCACCTCCCACCATCGGTCCCCAAGAATATGAGATCCTTAACCACACACCTACTCACAGCTGCAAACGCTCTCATCCCTAGCCACTGGAAAAAACCAGAGGCACCTACTATCCGAGCATGGATCAATAAAGTTGACACCATACGCCTCTTAGAGGAAATACACTACTCCAGGTCACACTCCTATAGTACATATGAACGTACCTGGGGCCCCCGGCTACACTTCTTAAAAGCTGACTAGACTAACAGAAAACCAACTCCTAACTCACTCCCCCACACTACCCCTCCCCCCCCCACCGCATACCGGACCTTAGATTTGTTAATCCCTGAAGTTTCTGTTCTCCCGACTACGATTGACAACCATTAAAATGGGATTTCTGGTACTGAACTCACTCAGTGTAAAATATTTATTTGTCAGGCCATCCATCCTCACTGCTTCATCTCCCACACAACTACCTGACAGAATATCTGTCCACCCTTACTGTTCATACTTTCCCACTATTGTTTATCCCATGTATAACTATGCAAAATACATGCTCTGTAGCACTGTTTTTTCGAAATAAAAATGTAAAAAAAACAAAAAAAAACAAGGATTCTCTTTATATTTAAAAAAAAAAAGAATTGTCAGCACCAGGCCCACTGGGCTCTTAATCTGGCCCTGAGGACTGATTTGGTCCAGAAGAGTGCTTTCAATAACCCACATGCCAATATCTTTGAAAAAAAAAACACTTTTCATTTGTCCCCTTTAACTGGAAAAACCAGGCTTCCTAACCATTCTAATTTAGTCAGGACAATCCCACCATCCTGAGTTTGTTCACCTGTTTTCCCCTTTTGGGGGCACCAGGAAACTGTTCACAAACATCATAGCATACCTGCTATTTCTTTGGGTGGACCCGTCCCCTGTCTGGGTAGGTCTGACCCCTTTGGGCATTGCCAGTGACGCAAATCACATCGCTGGCCCAGCTCCATTTTACACCAGCATTCCCCCCGTTATTTAGAAATTTGGTTATTTTGGCCTTAAATTTTAAATTCACTTCTAATTTACTCAAAAATTCCTGACAGTTGTCACTTTAGCGAATAACCCCCACAGTCTCTTCTCACTTGTAGCTCATTTAGTGGATTTGTCTTCAACTCGGAAAAAATAGATTTATAATCTGGTTTATGTTGCAACTGTGGAACTTGTTCAATGTTCAAGGATCGGGGCTGCAGGTTCATTTCCTGGCAGAACTGATAAAAATGAGTGTGATTAAAATGTTTAATAGCATTTTACCAGACTGGCAGCTGATTAATATAGGTTGCTGAGTGCTTTGAATCTCTTGGGTAGAAAAAATGATTGAAATTGTCGCTAATTTATCCAAGATGGGTTCTCCTTCTTATACTTACTACTTATAAACCTTGTCCTCAATATCTCAAGAGTCGAAACTACATAAGGATATCAAATTGAGCAAAGTGCAGGCATGTTGAAGAGGAAGTAATTTTAGCGATTCTCACCTGCATAATGCATCCTACACTATAAAATCATCAGATACCGACCTTGACCATTCTGTGGAGATTTGACTCTGCAAGAGATAAGAAGACTATTCCATGACTGTTATACTGCTAGTAGCCACTAAACAGACACCAGAAGATCAGATTTGATTTAGTTGCCTGACTGAGGAATTTACATTTTAATTAGCCTATTATTGGAGTCTGTGGGTAGTGCATTATCTGGCTCACTGAAAATCCACTTGTTATAATAATTATCCAGCTGAAATAAATGTGCTTTAGGTAAAACAACACAAATGGAATTGTCATTAGCTACAGTTTTTTTTCATCTGAAAAATTATCTTGTTCGATCAGAGCCGTAAGCGAAAGTATGTACAATTACACATCTTACAGCGAGCAATGACAGAAAGCAGGTATTACTGGGGGTTTGGTTAACGAACAGGCCAATAATAACTTTCTTTTTTTTTTTTTTGTAGGTTGAAAAGGCTATAGATTTAATTGCTTTTTATTCATGTTGTCCTTGCCGTATACTTTATGCTTATTTATATTATCGTAAATCAAGTTTTGATTGGTTTGAACAAACAAAATATGTTAGGCTGTAAAACTTGCAAATTCAGTATGTGAAATAATATTACGGCTATAAAACCGACACCTACCAAATGTCTAAGAAAAACGTACACCTTATCATCTTGAGATGCACAAGGACTAAATATGAAAGTATGTGCATTTCCTCTGTCTCATTTTTGTTCTGTCTTTCTCACTGTTTTCTTTTTTTCTCCATCCTATTTAATTCCTTTTATTTTCCCTTTTCTATTTTCTTTCTCTATCCCTCATTCCTTTCCGTGTTTCTTTAAATAATATTGTTTACATTCCATCTCCTCTCTCGCCCATCCTTTTCACACCTTTTTTTCCCCTTGTTTTTTTTCCCTCCCGCACTCCATTTTTCAAATTTCCTTTCATCCTTTTCCTTTCCTTCTCCGTTCCTCCTTTAGTTTCTCTCTTTCTTTCCTGTTTGTCTACTCTCTTCTCATCCTTCCCTACTTGACTTCCTTTCTTACTAATGTTTTTTTGGCAAAATTTGACATCTTTACATATGTTCAGAGTAATACCAAACAATCTCAAATGTATATGGTTTACACTGCTACAATATGCAATCCATGATACACTCAGCAAGTGAACTATAATTACTTAAAATATTTTCCTCATTTCAAAACTTACATTTTCTCACCTGAGGGGGCTCTGTGTTCTGCAAATAAACATGTCATTCATTGCACATGACAATTTTATGCTTCCAACGATTTAATGTCAAATTTAATAGTTATACTTCAAGGGATTAACAAAGTCAAAGTGGCAGGAAGGCAATATTGCATCCTGTTTGACTTATAAATCGTGCTCAGTCAATCTAGAGAAACGTTCAATATATAATCAAATATGGCATCATTTGTCTACCTTTTATAAATACGGCAATGGTACTATATTTAGTAAACATAAAACACATCATAAGTTTTTTTTTTAAGTAGTAATAGCTGATACTGTTTCAATCAAATTTACTTGAATGTAACAGGTATTCTCATTGAGCTAAAACAGAAATGATGGAAATGCAAATAACATGCTAAACAGGGCCAGCGCAACTATTAGGCGAACTAGGCATTCACCTAGTGTGCCGGCCTGCTGGCGGCACCCACTGGGATGTTTCCTGGTGTGCTGCTTGCTCCTGTCTGGGGCCACAAAGCTGGGTGAGCGTCTATTAAGCCAACTCCAGCACTGGGCCAATCCTCAAGGCGCCTGAAGGTGGGGGCGCCGAGAGGAGCCCTGTCACAAGGGGGCCAGGAGGTAGCCATGCTGGTGTGTGAGTGTGTATCAGTGAGTGTGTGAGTGTTTGACTGTCTGTGTGTGTGTGTGTGTCAGTGAGTGTCTGCCTGTGTGTGTGTCTGTCAGTAAGTGAGTGTATGTATGTCAGTGAGTGGTCGTGTGTGTGATTGTCTGTCAGTGAGTGAGTGTATGTCTGTCAGTAAGTGTGTGTGTCTGTGAGTGAGTGTATGTCTGTCAGTGAGTATCTGTGTGTATGTGTGTGTGTCTGTCTGTCTGTCAAAAATGGATCTTTGCCTAGGGTGGCAGAAATCCTTGCACCGGCCCTGATGCTCAAGTAAAGCAGGTGCCAATAATAGGTCAGAGTCAGCGTGTATTTTTGTTTCGTGCTGCCCTAGGCATGACTAAACCTTGGCACTCCCTAATCTAAATTTGCCCCACCCTTTCCTGTCAAGGCTGCACCTCTTCCTGTTTAAGAACCCACCCCTTCCTCTTTTCCTACTCCTTTTAAAGGGATACTGTAGTGCCAGAAAAGCAAAGCTGTTTTCCTGACACTATAGTTCCATATAGTGCCCCCCTCCCTCGTGCAACCCAGCCACCCACTCGGCACTGAAGGGGTTAAAACGCTATTATTATATCTCCCTGACAACACAATTATACACGTAAGGCACATTATAGGTGCTGAAAACATGTGCCCCTCTACAGGACTTGCACCTGTAGGCAGCTGTCTGATCTACCTAATGGGAAAAAAACCTTCAGTTCCTTACCTGAGACCAGCGCTGGTGTCCCTCGGTGCTGGGTCAGGCTCCTCCTCCGCGCTTGTATTAGGCTTCTCATAGGAAAGCATTGTATCAATTTGTAACCGCAGCTGGTGCCCCTATTTATCCCTATAACGTCTTAAAGCATAGAACTTAGCAGGGCTAACCATACAGATATCTTAGCCATAATATTATATAGATCCTCTATTTAAAATATATAAATAACTGAGAATACGATATAAAATAAGGATTGTCTTGATAGCAAATAAGTTTTGTCTTTTAGATATTTTATTAAATAGAAATATAAATATAGACATATAAAATTCATTACAATAATTTATATCATAGTAATTTATATCATTATAAGATTAAACTATATGCTTGCAATATCATTTTAAATAGAATAACATACCCTCTTGAACATGTCAACATCTCTCAGTCATTATATGGAGCGACAGAGACTCTGTCTCCAAATCTCCACTCTGTCCGTTAACATTTAAAAGGTACACATATTTATACCTTTTTTCTTTTGAGGGTTATCGTAGTTCATATATGAAAAAGTCAAACTTCTTATACTTTTATTCATTTTAGGACCTCCCTTAACTTGGCAAAGACACAAGGCCATAACTAAAACATAAGGGTGTACACATCGTGGGAAATTCCCTGACTTAGTACAAGATGGTGTCTTAAAGTCTGAACATCTTATCTATTGTTTATTTGTCATGACCCAGATATTTTATTTATTGTTTATACTAAAATATAAGGGTGCACACGTCATGTGTAATTCCCTGACTCAGGACAAGATGGCGTCTTAAAGTCTAATGACGTAGCATAGCCTTGAAGATGTTATGTATTACTTGTTTTTGTATTAAGCTAAGACAAAATGCCATAAGTTAGAACTACGCAGCATATTATGCACTAAAAGTAGGTAAGAGGTTATTGATTGAAGAAACATGTTTGAAAAACAATACGTTCAATTTCTAACACCTTTTTGCAATATCTCTTAAAGACAAAGTACAGAGTTTAAAAAATACAACTTTGCATTTTAAAACTTGTAATATTTGCATTTTCCTATGGGGATTTAGCAGGGGCAGGATGTCCTCAATCACAGTGTGAGGACGTCAAGCATCAGTTAGGCGGCGTTTGGTTGCCTAACCACCGGCAAGTCCCTCAGGACTTCTGAGAAACA